TTCCTCAAACTCCTCCTTTGAATACTACTACTTCTAATACTACTACTACTACTACCAGTACTACTACTACTACTACTAATAATAATAATCCATTTGGAGAAGTCTGCTTCATATTCTCTGAGTAAAGAACGCGCTCCAGCAGGCAGGAGAAGCTCCTGTCCTCCAGATAACTTCAGTTATTTTCCTGTTTTCTTCACCTCTGAGTTGTCAAGTGAAGCCTGGAGGGAAGCGACCGCAGAACCCAGAGATGGGGGTGGAGGTTGGTAATTAACCAGGGGAAGGAGGGGGGTACTTGACGTAGGGTGGGATGGCTGAAGAGGAGAGGAGGCGGGCCGGGGAGGAGGCAGAGGGTGGGGGGAGGAGGTTTCTCCTCTTGTCTTCCAGAAGCTCTTTGATTCGGAGGCGGACAGCRGACACTCCAGCGAGCGTAAGTCCCTCTAATCTTCATTTTTTCAGTGTTTTTTTAACAAATGTTTTAGATTTTTCACTTCTCAGAAGATTAAAGAGTGCARCTGTGTTTGATTTGAGAGTCAGAGGAAGGAAAGTTTGTAGGTGGTGAAAGGTGATAAAAGGCGCCAAAGCTTTAATGTTTCTGCTCTGATTTTATTTTTAAAAGAGTTTATTTCAGAGTTAAACAGCAGAATGTGTCATTGTTCAGTTTGTTTCTGAAGAACTGTGTGGTAGTTCTGTCCGTGGTGCTGTCCGTGGTGCTGAACTGATCCAACTTCTCCACAGAACCAGATCTGTGCCCTGCTGGAGGACAGCTTCCTCTGGTTTCTCGGTTTTCTGGACAAAACCAAAGAAGAAGAAATTCCCACAAACCCAACTTTTCCTGAGTCGACCTCCTGGTGCCGGATCAGCAGAGTCTGAACATGTTCCATGAGTCCAGTCCGCGCGGACCCGACCAGGTGAAGTCCGTCCCTCAGACAGCTGGAGCACAGATGGAGACGCGCGCGCGGCGCTCCGCTCCATAAGAGGGGCTTCGTGGACAAGCGGAACCAGAAGAGTTCTGGGGGGTCCAGCAGAGTCCTCGCAGGATGGGGATGAAGCACTTCCTGCTTCTTTTCATCTACCTGGACCCGTGCAGCGTTCTGTGCGCCGCCGCCAACAAGAAGAGCAAGCTCCCCGCGCGGAGGACCCCCAAGCTGAAGGAGGCGAACGGAACCAGCAGCACCGCGGGCCCCCCCGCCGCCTCCCCGGTCCGGATCACCCAGGTCCAGGCGCCCTCCGCGGTCCAGCACGACACCTGCATGGGTTACTACGACGTGAGCGGCCAGTACGACCGGGAGTTCGCGTGCAACAACACGGACCACCGGTTCTGCTGCGGCAGCTGCTTCCTGCGCTTCTGCTGCGAGGACCGGGCCAAGCGGCTGGAGCAGCGGACCTGCACCAACTACAACACCCCAGACTGGATCAAGACCCAGCCCCCRTCCCCGGCGCCCACCGGGGACACGTACGACCCGGCGCTGGACCAGACCAACACCACGGTGTACATCACGTGCGGCGTCATCGCGCTCATCATCGCCATCGGGATCTCCGTCAAGGTGGCCTATGATAAAGCCAYGAAGCCCCCCCAGGAGATGAACGTGCACAGGTAACCCGTGTCATTACATGACCCCACCCCCCCAAAAAAAATGTGCTGAGAATGAATAAGAGCACTAACTTATTTCAAAATGAATATTTATTTATTTATTTACTTATTTATTTATTAAGCTGTTTGAAGCATCACAGTTTTAAACAGCTGAAGAACTGTTACCTGCAGAGCACACCTGTCCTCATGTTTGAGGAACATTAAGGTGTCATGTTACAGATGGTTTTCACTGGAACAGTCTTACAGATGTGATGTGTGCGTGTTGTTGTGACTTAGAGTTTCAGATTGTACGGGGTGTCGTTTGTAACGTTACACAGTCAAAAATTACCACCAATATTTTTGTTTTATTTAGACTTTTATAAGAAACAAAGAACAGATTTATGTTTCAAAATCAGTTTTTCACCATATGGTTCATACATTTATAAATGTCATAGTTTATAAACTAAATGTTTAACTTACAAATTAAATATTTAGTTAACAAGCTAAATATTTAGC